CGATTGATTTTCACGCGACCTTACACAGGTCTAGATTGTAGATGTTGCGTCGAGGTGTACTTCGAAATCGTAGGATTAGAGAGTCACAGGAGCGTCGTAATGCCACGTTAGCAGGAGCAAGTGCAATGGCAACTTGGTCCAGTGGTGAAGTCAGGAATGCCAGTTGAAGGGGGAGTGGTTCGTGAGCGTGGCGGGCGATTTAAAGCAACTCACCGTGCGCCAGAGCCAACTCCACTCAAGTGAATGAATATTCAGAAGCGTGCGAGAACTGTGGGGAACGTGGTCTTGGTGCCTCGGGTGACCTCTCGTGGAAACGGCCAGGTGAAATGGTCCAAATCACGGGGAATATTCAGATTTCGCCCTTGCCACTATGCGAATTACTCCTATCACGTATACGTGTGATCACGACCGCGGCCGTGCGAGCAAGTTATGTCAGTAGGAAAATCGCGGTTTGCTAGATAAGTATTCGCCAGAGTGGATTTATCCGCACTTGGAGAGAAGGCGGTTGTTATCCTTACGCATGCATATGTGTAAAAAGCTATAATAATTAATAATTTCTCAGCTCAGTTCTCGTACGTATTCTATCCATTGTCTTCTATTCACTAGACTTCCTATTCATTGAATTTTAGAAACACGATTCGTTATTGAATTATTAAGAAAACGTAAATGTGTAGACGACTACAAAAGTACTCCGACATGTAACACAATCGTCTTTCACGCAGCATGCATACAAAACCAATGCAATTATCATTATTATTTCTTGAGAAGAAAGCCTTGAAAAAATAACGTTTCTCTTCATACACACTTTTTGCTTTGAAAATCTTTTCTAAATCAATGCTTTTAAGAATATTAGTTTACGTTTAAATGCATCATTTCCATTTATATAACAATTGATATATTTATACTTTCGTTCATTACATCATTTATAATGCACCAATCCCAGAGAATAATCATACGATTATGTATGTTATATTAAAGTTTGGAGAGAGAAACTGTAACTATACTGTAATTATAATAACATGTTATAACAGAGATCAGGTTTACTTATTGTAACAAGAGGAGAGCGTGCTATGCTTTTCAGATAAAATCGTAAACCGAGCGGAATCGCTTCCAGATACCCTCTTTTATAATAGTAAATATTGCGAACCACTCTTCGCGATAATTTTGCCCAGCTTCCAAATATATATATATGTATATGTATATACATATATATGTACATATATACGTACATGTATAATACATATTAAATGCAGCTGCAGGCGGATATTCCCTCGGCACCTGCAAGCGACGTTTCCGATGATCTCGCCGCGAGAATCGGAGTCGTTACCGCCGCTCAAATAATCTCCGTGTGCGTCCGTGGGCGTTTTACAGCCCTCGTCGTTTTCGCTCATCGTTAGGGCGCAATAGAGGCGCCAAGCATAGCTGCAGGTTACAACGGACGTTGCAACTCGAACCATAAGAGCTCGGATTGCAGCAAAGCTACGGTTAGTTAGTACGGAGCGAAATACGATGGAACGCCTGTCTATATTTGCGAAACAGTTCTCTCCGTCTTACATTCTGTGCTAGGCTCAATCTCTTCCTTCCTCTATGTAGAAAAGCGTTCAAGCTTATATACGGTGCATGGGCTTTATAGAGATTCGCGTATATACTACAATACTCTCTATTGAATCTCAGTTCGATAAAGCATTGCAATATCATTAACAATGGTAACAACAGCGGCGTATTATTATCACATAGTCTACACATTGTTATCGAGTAATTTGCAAACTTTCAAATAATTCAAAGTAAGATGACGTATATATGAGAGCCACAATGATAGTACAGTAAAATTGATCCAAATTAAAATTTACCACTTTCACTGCATTTACTTCTATAATTATGTTATATTTACACAAATATTTTATCACAATCAGTCAATAAAATTATTCCGAATATTATTTATACCAGTAAGGCGAGAAAGAGAAGAAGAGAGTGACACCATTAAAATTAGATGATATTGCGCATGCAATAAAAATGAGTAGACACGCAGATGGAGAGCGCGGAAAAAAGCAGAGGTACCAAAATTTTGTGCAGGGCGAACTGCACACCAGGGAAATTGCCAGATATAATGGGCGAATGATAATTTAGTGCGCGCGACAATGAATGAGAATGGTGTGACGGAAAAATGTTCTCTCTTTTAAATCGCGAGACGTGCAAATTGAAGTTAATCATCCGACAAAAGTCACCGAACATCTCATCAGCGTAAACGCGCTTCTTTCGATATCAATGACGTAGAAACGTGCCTCATATTGCGAGTAATTCGCGAAAGTGAGCGCTGGTGAGTGCTGGTGAGCGCTTCGTGAGATAGACGTAACGTTCTTGATTTTTCGCCCCGCGGGATTAGCTCGATTCATCGGCACGGAAGCACCGCACAAGAATACCGCGCGTTCACGAAGAGCCGCACGAGAGCGTCGGAGAGAACGAACTCTATATGGCAGAGGTCCATTTGCGGACCGCCGGTAATTTCCTCGGGGAAGAATCCCGGCTGTATACCGAACGGGAGCATCGTTCGCTCGCGCGATTTCACCGTATTTCAGAGTTGGCCACGCAATGCCGACTCACGCGTATAATCGGCGCGATTAATAAAGTCCGCTTGGTTAACTGTAAAATAGCACGAATCGCGTAAAGAAGAAAAGAAATAGTCGTCGTGAATAAAGACAAAGCGGAAAACGAGAGAGAGAGAGAGAGAGAGAGAGAGAGAGAGAGAGAGAGAGAGAGAAAGTCCATAGCAATACCATTTACAGACTGGCACTGTGCACGCGTGCGTTCTGATAGTGACCGCGATGGTACACCGTTAGCAAATTCCCTCAGCTAACAAACAAGGCGCGCGTGCGAATATACAAGATATCCTGATATACGAAAGGACAAGAATTCTTTCAATCCTTGCATCTCCGAATCACGATACAATTCTTTTTAAATTATTTCTGATCCATACAAGAAATATCTGATCCTTGAGAATTTTAGGTCTTCTATCAATATTTTCAAGTAATAATCATCTTGCAAATGTTACTTGGAATTGTATTTCCTATCAAATTTCAGTTAATATTTCGGAACATCCTATATATGTATATGTACACTGCACTTGATCTCGTAAGCTTTTAAAAAACAAACAAGAAAAAGATTTCTCGAGTAGTCCCTGCGTACGATGTAATATACGCTCGCAGATATCAGATTCCATTTTGCCGTTGCTATTACTGCAGCTCGTACGTGAGGTCCATACTTTTTCGTTCGCCTGACCGCAATTAACATTAGCATAGAAATTGGTGCGCGTACTGTCAGTAGAACATGCTCGTAAACTTGACAAATTCTTGATGACAACTTTCGATATACGTGAAATTATTTTACCCTATCTTAATTGATTAAAAAGTACTCTTTTATTTTAGAATCATCTACTAGAATTAAAATATTAAGTTCTCATTTATTTTAGAATTATCTACTAAAAAATTAAAATAAGAAAACAAATAAATTATCAATTAAATACTAATATAACAAATTAATGATATTTTACATGACACATTTTTAAATCAATATTATTGCATAAATTATTATAAGATTTTTCAATATATGCTCTTTGATATTTCATGTACAATAATTTAAATGTTGAATTGTTGCTCCAACATGTTTATGAATATATGATGTTTTTAATAGTATTAAAAAGATTTATAACCATCGATATCTCTCGATTCACCTATCCATTCACGTCACATCAGTGTGACACGCTACACAAATTTGGAAGTTCTGATATACACGGTGCCAATATATTTCGCAGAAATCTAACGTACTTTTAGCGTTACTTGCAGAAATCTAACATTGCAGAGTGATAGTCATATGTGAGAAAGATATAGGTACATATATATTGAGAACCCATAATCGCGTCTTTTTTCACAAGAGACGTAATGCAATTAGAATCGATTAAAATATATTATGAAACGTTCAAATTCTATTATAATAGACATATAATAATTTTTTTTTAAGATTTAAAAACTGAAATAAATTCTTGCATACATTGAAAAATAATGACTTTGTTTCCAACAAACTTCGTTTTTGTAACGTACGTACCAGATATATGAATTTTAAATAAACGACAATGTATAAAACCCATAATCGCGTTTTTTTTCGTAAAAAACGTAATGCAATTAGAATCGATTGCAATATATTATTAAACGTTCAAATTCTATTATAATAGACATATAATTTTTATGCTTATTTTAAGATTTAAAAACTAAAATAAATTCTTGCACACATTGAAAAATAATGACTTTGTTTTCAACAAACTTCGTTTTTGTAACGTACGTGCTAGATATATGAATTTTAAATAAACGACAATATATAATATCTCTTTTATATTTCATAAAAATTATTTTCATATGTTTACATCAAACACGTATCAATTACAAAATTGCTAAAATTTATTTTTAAAAATTGATTTAACTTTCTGTTAAACTATAATTTTTAATATTCGGTTTTATCGATTTAAAAAATTAAAACGAGTATATGTATAAAAGAAATGATGTCTCTTAAATTATTGAATCTAACAACATACTTCGATCAGATTCGTTCCGGATACTGGAAGCATGTTCCTTGTTAGTCAATTCGCCGAGTAGTGCCTATATAGCAATGGCGCCGATCGAACGATAATACGATTGAACCACTATAGAAGCACATCGGTGAAGCACTCGAATTTCTGCGTTTCCACGAAAGCACGAGATGCGGTTCTATCCCGGTATATTTCTTCGCCATGGAAGAAAGCTATCGAGATCGCGCGGTTCTGGCGTCTCGGCCCTTCATCGTCTTGCGACCTCAGTCTCTCTTTGCACTCTTCCCTCGAGCCATCGTCACGGCCGTCGCGCTCTCCGTACATTACGGCATTACGCTACAGAATTCATCTTATTGCGTCGAGATACATCTGATGGCGACAGATCGATATATCTCGTTCTCGGTGAGAACTCGCAATCCAATAAAGGAATGGCGAGAAAATTGCAATCGGCATTGCCATGAAATAAATGGATAGAGAGGTGGTTACATACGGAGATAAAGGAGAGAGAGGAAGAGAACATACCATCAACATTACATACGTATCTCACAAGTGCTGCCAGAGAAATCTACAAAGTCGTATACATTAGCGTCAACCGCAAAAGCATACAATTTTTTTAAATCTTCCTAGAAACTCAAACGTCTTAATCCTTTACAGCTAGTAAAGTGTCTACTTAACGGGTTAAAATTTATTACTGAAGATTTGCTAAATTATTATTATTTTACTAAAACAATTTTCACTCGGTAAACCATGTACTATATTTACATGTTTCTATTTTCTTTTTACATCGCAATGTTGTTCACACACAACATGATAAGCAGTATAAAAAACTAATTTATTTAAAGTATACATTCGATCAGTCGCCTATGAAAATCTGTCTTTCAATGTACGAAAAAAATAACTTTCATCTTTCTTCCTTGAATAAGCAAGAAGAATAATTCAGCTTTTGATCTTCAAAGTTTTCTTATTTTGTAAAAAACTATTTTTCCAAGAATTTTCACTAACAATAAAAAATCTAGCATTTTTTTGCATATCCGCTCAACTCATAAAAGATTATCACTCATTAAAATTCAATATAACTTTTTGTTGCGAAAAATTTAAAAATATTCAAAAAGAAATTTAATAGAATACAGATTAATTATTAACCATTTTTTAGAGTAAACGGCGGTAATATGTATAATAAATGATGAATAACTTTTAATGAGTCATTTTTTCATTTGTTTAAATACAATAATATTGTAGATATTCAACCTACAATGACCATGACACAATAAACTGTTATAGAAATTATGGAACATTGATTAAGATGCATGCAAATTTACGATGGCGCGTTTATCCCTACCATACAACAGCGCTGATATACGTTCATTGAGCGAGACTTCATTTCTTGAGCCTCCCTGCATCAATGGTATTTATGTGCGATAATTAAGCGCGTATGCTATGCTTATACTTGCGCCTTGTTTTATTCATACCATAATGAAGCTTAAGAACACAACAGACTGTGCTTAACAGACTCTCGGTAATGCGATCAAGTAGAGTGGAAAAAGACATGAATGAGTTTATGATACTTTTCACAAAATCTCTGATAATGATAGGTATAACGTATTGCAAATTGAAATAATTTCTTTGATATTATACTTCAATATTATGTAAATATTATTCTTCACAATATTATGCAAATTATTTCGTAATAATTGCTTTATCTTATCTAGTTAATGCAATTCGTATAGAAAAAAATTTATTGTCTATTATTGTATGCTTTTTTTACATAGTATTTCTAACAATTCTGATAACATTTACATTGTCTCTTACAAATTAGATGTTGTTTCTTTTGTTTTAATGTAATTTTACTACTTTTTATACAATTAAAATTTTACAATGTCGCAAACATTTACGAGCATTAAAAACAACGTTAGCTACATATAAATAGATTAAAAAATTTTATTTTAAAATTAAATTTTGCATCAATTATCAGTTGAAGTAAAATTATGACTCTATCTTAACATTTCTTATACATTCTTTTATATTTATTGTATAAAGCATGACCTAAAAAGTCAAAATCATTATTCTTAGAACGATAGAAAGTGGTATGTCGTAAATTTTTTCCGCGATAAAATAAAGATACCATACAACGATTATTCCATTTTCTTGGACATTATTATACAATTTTTTAAAATGGCATAATAATTTTTTAGCTATACTTTATGAGTCCATTATAGAGTTACATATAAGTTGTATTGTACATGTCGCGTAATGCAGTTGTACAGTATATGGTGTATGACTATTTACAGCGTAAATATTACTATACAACTAATTACAATGTATAATTTCATATAAATTATACGTTCAAATGGTAGAACAACTCTGTATGCTAACAAAACGTTCATTCGATAAAAATACTTCACGAAAGAATCATTTTTTGCACGGCAATAATTAATTTAAATGTTAGCATGAATGTCCTATGTATGACCGATATTAATTCTAATAGAATTAATAGAATAAAATTAAATATTATTTTTAATTTAAAAATACCATTTTAATTTAAATTTTTTTTATCGAACAATATCTGGAGTATTTCAGAAAAGTTATACTCTCTCGACATAAGAAAACTACAAAGTACAATTATTCCTTCTTGATCTCTTTGAAAAGAAGGCATTTTTAAATATGTAACAAATAAAACAAAATCCAATATGTACTTCTTTCTCTCTTTCTCAGTGTGAACCATAGAAAAAAAAAAAAATATATATATATATATACAATATATTTTTAGGGATAGATCAGGAATGATATATCATTCTAGATCTATCCCTTTATCAGAAAACCATTGCTACAAAAGATAACTTCTATATCCACATACATTCGCATGAAACGGGGGGAGGGGTTTGATCATTCGATACATTGTCAGAGAACATTGTCGTATCATTGTCCAATACAGACATGAGACGTCTAGTTCGAAGTGCCTTACACTCACGATCACTATCAATCGATTGGTAATGCATAGCATCGTGCACGACGGAAGCACAAGCGAAGACGACATTGAGGTACATGGTACACGCTCGTCGTCATCATCGTCGGCGTCGTTCTTGTCGTCGTCAACGTCGCTGTCGTCAACGTCGTTATCGTCAACGTCGCGTTGCAATGCGCTACATGTTGAGCCCCCGTAGCTACGGGGCAATCGAATTTTCATCGCCGCGAAGGTGAACTCTGAATATTCATACGGTCGAACGAATTCCCGGTACCTTGCATACGTCTCTCTCTCTCTCTCTCTCTCTCTCT